ATCCCCAACAAATTCGAATCACCACGTGTTTGATTCTGATTGACAGGCCCCTGCGGTAAATACTTATAAATACTCATTTTTCGTGGATCAATCATTTCCTTCCTCTTTTGCCATTATATTGCTCAGCGCATTTTAGTTTCTCTCTCTAGATTTTTTACATACGGTGTAAGTTCCCATCCTTTTAAATCCCGTTCGTCGTCATGTCCTCGAAACCGAAATCTTTATCCACGGGCCAAAGTGCTCGGGGCAGTTCGGCATCCGCCTCTGCCCGTCCCGATGATCGGGTAGATGATGGGTGCCTCTACAGTGATGACTTAGAATACTACGCGCGAGGGATGCCCCCTCGGCCCCCTCGTTATTCTTTGAACTTCCAATGCATCCGGCATCAGCACCAGTGCCTGCTCCCATGTGACAAGCGCATGATAAGCTAGTGGTTTAACCCACCACGAGTCTACGACGTCCGTCCCCTGCGCCACCCCATGCGCCATTTGTCAGGCCATGTGGTTGTGCATATGGACTCTGTCATTGCCGGCCTATTTTCCCCTCTGCATCCCTTCCATTTAGAACTACTAAGGGATCTAAAGATTACCCCATCGCAGCTCGTCCCCTCATCCTATAGGTTGATAGCGGGTTTCAGTATTCGGTGTCATAGTGTGGGTGTGACCTTTTTTGTGGACTTGTTCCATTACTTCTTTTGGGCGAGCCCATTCGGACGCACAGGATGCCTGAGTGTGACCGCTCGTCCTTCGAGGGTTATCTTCTCCAATAACGACACAAATCCAGACAGCTGGGAGGAACGGTTCTTTCTTGCCGGGGTAGGTTCTCCAATTCCTTTCTCGGATAGGTGGAATCCATATCCGGTGAAGTTCGGCCCTCCGGCCATGTCGGATGAGGAGTTGGGATACGCCAACCGTGTGGCCGGCCTTGGTATTCAAAACTTCCGGTTATTGGTGGCACGACCCTTTATAGTTCGGGCCGGATTAGGTGCGTCCGTGCGTACTTAGCATTTTGCCTTTTGATTATGTATTGTTGATCCTGAAGGTCCTCTCTTCCTTGCAGGTGTTTACTTGAACCCTCCAGTCATGGGTCGTTCTAACAACATTCTTCCGATCTCTGGTCGTCAGGACAAGGACAAGAAGGTGTTAGTCCCTAAAACTGAGCCTCGTGTGACACGGTCGCGGGCTGAAGGTAGGTCGGAGGCCGAGTCTTTGCCCAAGAAGCCTCGTCATGAGGGGAGTGCTTCTCAGGCCATCGTAGTAGTGGATGAGTCCGACGAGGAACCTAGCAGTCCTCTGTAGCGGAGATCAGCTGCTCGGACGAAGCCACCTCCATCTCCTTCAAAGAATTCAGACGTCCATAAGATTAGGGATGGGGACGTTCATGACGTACGTGCTTCCACTTCTCAGTCCATGGTCTCTAAAGACAGGGACGCTTGTGGCACTGGTTCTCATGGTGCTCGAGCCTTTTCTCCCCCCAAGATTAATGATCTTTCCCTGGGGCTCAATGAATTTTCTTGCGTCGGCCCTCAGAAGGAGTCAATGATGCTCTTTGGCCAGACGGCCTCTTCTATTTGGTGTGGCCTCAACCTGAAGGTGCCCCAAGAGTTTGCTGCACAAGAGGTTCCTCAGGATTTGCATAAGTGCGACAAGAGTACCCTGGACAAGGCCGAGATCTACTTCTCATTGGGCCCGATCTGCTTTTGAGTGGCAGGGGAGGGAGATGGCCGCGCTACGGGTGGAGTGTGATACCCTGGTGAAGAACGTCGAGACTAGGGTTGGCCAGCTTCAAGGAAAGGCCGATGCTACAGATAAGCTGGCTCGGGAGAACGCCTCCCAAAAAGAGCTTATCCATGCTGGTCAACCTCCGTAGCCAGCTGGCGGAGCTTAGCCATGCGGGTGCCTCCGTCCGTCGGGTTGATACTAATGGCCACGTATCGATTTACGAGGCCAACGTCTCCAAAATCAAGGAAGCTGGCTCTATCGAGTTTCAGAAATCCAAAGGGTATACGGACGCGCTGCATGTTGTTGCCAAACGGTTTCTGCCCAAGTACGTCGGGGAGTACCTCGCCGTCTGTCAGGGCCCTTGTTTGGCAGGCATTGAGCTACTCAAGGCTACGCCCAAGGTGAACGCTTCCTCGACGATCTGGCCGATGATACTTATGCCAAAGGCATGGTCGGCCTTGTGGCGGAAAATCTTCCCATCTTCGAGCGACATTTCGGCGCTCCCTTTGATCCTGAAGCTGCCGGGTTTGACTCGCTGATGGTGGACGCGTATAAGGGCACTTTGGAACTGCTTAGGGAGCGTCGAGAGAAGGAAGCTCAGGAGAAGGCGAAGCAAATCCCCTGTAGTAAAGAAGTGGTTTATCCCGCCAGGATTCTCGAGGTTCGTTCAACTACCTTATCTGAGGTCCTACGTACGGCCCGCTAGGCGGTGTACGCTCGGCACGCAACATATTTTAGTACAAAACTGGTTTACCCCGCCAGGGTTCCCGAGTTTCGTTCAACTACCTTACCTGTGGTCCTATGTACAGCCCGTTAGGCGGTGTACACTCGGCACACAACAGATTTCAGTAAAGAACCGGTTTACCCCGCCAAGGTTCCCGAGTTTTGGGAGTTATGTCTCCCCTCCTCCTTTTTTTTTTTCTTTTTTTTGGAGGGAATCCGGCCAATGGCCTATTGGTAAAATTTCTTCAAGTTTTCTACATTCCATACACCAGCGGGGTTGCCCTCCAAGGTGAGGAGAACGAACGTCCCATGATTGAACCTTCGGTGGACCCTGTATGGTCTTTCCCAGTTCTTAGCCATTTTGCCACCTTCGAGCGGTTTGCTCTTTTCTCGTTTGCGTAGGACTAGGTCTCCGATTTCTATTTCTCGGATTTTCACCGCCTTTTCAAAGTATCTCTGTGTGGCTCGGTGATATTCCTCCATACGACGAGCGGTCAGGTCCCTTCGCTCCTCAATGAAATGGAACTCCGCTCGTATGATGGCCTCGTTGTCTTTTGGTTGGAAGTGCTTCGTACGATGTGTAGGTACGAGCACTTCTGTATGCACCTTGGCTTGAAATCCATAAGCCAGGGCGGAGGGCGTCTCCCCAGTAGCTGTCCTTGGGGTCGTCCTGTACGTCCATAGGACGTAATTCAATTGTTCTGGCCAGGTGGATGTGTAACCTTCCAATTTTTTCTTGATGTCGTCCATGATGGTCCGATTCATGTTTTCCACCTGGCCGTTGGCTTGTGGGTAAGTACTTCGAGTATATTTTGAGAAATAATTTTAATAGGCATATATTATAATGTAGTTAGTATTGATAACTGTGATGTTATAAATGTATTATTTTTAATATTTAATGATTAATTTGTCACTTAAGATTGTTAATTGTTTTCTAAAATGGAAATGAGAACATTTATGTGGGACGTCCAAAAAAGGAAAGTGAGAACCTTCTAATGGGACGGAGGGAGTACTATTTATACCACCAATGGGCAGTTGGCTATGCTGACGTGGAGAGCTGCGAATGGCTGATGCCTCAACCACCAAACCTCCAACATTAAATGCGCCTCCCGCCAGAATCTCGGTTTCCCGCCCAACTTGTGGAGACGAGCGCCCCCTAGGGTTGGGGCGGTAATGCTGCAAAGGGTTGTGAGCCGTGTGTCGCCTGGTCCTTGTGTAAAACGTGCTGATCAATTCCTGGACTGAATCTTCCCTGAGCCGTGGGCTAGGGATGGTGACGTGCGTCTTCCTAGCCTTGGGCCTTGAGACAAGATTATTCATGTTCTGTATAAACGTTCGTCCTTGCAGACTGACCTCGTAGGGTGTGGACGTTTGTCAAAGAAAGAGCTTAATGGGCCGATCCTCTAATTGGGCCATTAACCCAACAATATTATTGGGGGCACATGCCCCCAGTGAACTCCCAATTTTTAATATATATATATATATATATATATATATATATATATGTACTCCGTATTATTTTGTTTGCTAGAATAGGTATTGACACATTTTTTAAGAGTGAAATAGTGGAGTGATGAATAGTATAAAAAAGTATGAGAGATGGTGGAAAAATATGAAAGAGAAGATAAAAAATAGAAAAAGTAAAGATACTTGAGTATTTTTAAAGGAAAAACTTATCAAAAAGGGAAAGTGTAACAAATATTTGAATACATACCAAAAAAAGTGTAGCAAACAAAAAAGGGAAAACTGTCAAATAGGTTCTCGAACTTTCATAAAAAGTCAATTAAGTCCTTCTATAGGAGACTCTGTCCGGTCGTCGCGATTTGGTGCGGTTCTCGGTTGAATTTTTTGATGAATTTTTTTGAGCATCTTATTCATCAACTCTAGTTTACTCATACCAAATTTCAGCTAAAAATTTAATCGGGAGCACATTCAAATTAATTCGAGAACGCAAAAATGCACAGGTATCTTCAAGAATTAATTTGAATGTGTTTCCGATTGAATTTTTTGCTGAAATTTGATATGAGTAAACTAGACTTGGTGAATAAGATGCTTAAAAAATTTCATCATAAAATTCCATCGGGAACTGCCCCAAATCGGGACGGCCGGACAGAACCTCCTATAGAAGGACTTAATTGATCTTTTTATGAAAGTTCGAGAACCTATTTGACAGTTTTCCCAACAAAAAATAAGGAGAGAGTTTTATAAATGAACAGTGCCCCCAATGAATAAAAATAATGAGGGACCCCAATATGTTAGCCACTCAGGGTCTGTTTGCAACAGCTTCTGCTTTTAAAAAAGTGCTTTTTTTAATGAAATGAGAAGAAGTGGTTAAATAAAAGTTGATAGTGTTTGAGAAAAAAAGTGATTTTGAAAAGTAAAAGTGGGTAGTGTTTGGTAAAATAAGTGTTTTTTGTGTGATAGAAAAAGTAAAAGCACTTTTGACGCGGAAGCCGAGAAAAATAAAAGTTGTAGTGTTTGGGAAAATAAGTGTTTTTTTAAAGTAAAAAGCTGAGAAGTGCTTTTCCAGTTGCAAACCAACCCTCCAGTACTCCACAATGAAGTACTGTATATCAGTCGACCAACGAACTCAGTACCCAGTGAATAGCGAGCAATTCAAGTTGATCGTGTTTCTAGGAGCAGCTAACCAACTTAGCCGCCGCCAGCAGCGGCGACGCCGACCGTTAAGCTCCATGTCTGATGCAATATTAAGACACCGCGTTGCACAACTCATTGAGCCAGGGTGCTTTTATTGTTCTCTGCCATCTCCACCTCTCTTTGCCAACCGATCTGCTTGTCGAGTAATTCAAATAACGAAATTTCACCTTCTATTTATTTTTCGTTTTTTTGCTATTAAGATTTCGTTTTTCAGTTTGGTTTGGTAGTTAATTTGTTTCCTTTTCATGTTCTGCAATCATGTCAGAGAAATCATCATCGAGCACATTCTTCTCTGTCCATGAATGGGTGCCAAGGTGACCCAAGAGCCCCCATCGGAACCATCCAAGCTCAAACGTTTCCTGCTGTCTCGAGCCTATCACTGGCGATGGAAAGCCTCAATTCCGCCATTTCGAACCTCCTCAACTCCGACCCTCTGCCGTTTGACTCTGGCATTATTCGCCTTCAGGTAAGAACCCCTGCCCACCTATACGCTATAACAATCGGACCGACTCGACGGGTGAACATAAATAAAACTCTGGAAACGGCAAAACTAGGATGACCCAATCTACTTCGACCAGTTTCGGCCACATTTTGTCATGAAAAATACAGTGGGGAACTGTTTTTATTGCTCAAGCCTCTCAGTTATAAACTTGTAATCATAAATTCAATAATTCATAAACAATATATGTGGTCAAATATTACTATTTGATTCATGTATCTCATCTTACAAAACCATATCATAAACTTGTTGAGATTTAGAAGGAAGAACTGCACACAAAAACTCAAAAAAATGAATTGAAAGATTATATGAGGGTTTATATTTACTCAAACTTGTTAAAATCTTTAAATATTCATTTTTTTTGTCCCTGATTTGCTCAGCTATCACTTTTACCTTTCCACAAATAATGGTTATTTATATTATACGTCTAGATTTTTTTACCAAATAATTTCAACAAATAATTTCTCGATCTCATATACTGTGTCAAAAAAATAATCTTCAGTCGCTTACTTCCCAAATTAACTGAATATGGCCGATATGATTAAAGTTGAATATGGCCAGAATAATTGATTGATAGGCACCCTTCAGAATGTGTCAAATAATCTTTAGGTACCAATTAAAGAGAAGATTGAAACACTCGCTTGGCTGCATGCCCAAAACCATCTTCCACTCCTCCCGCGCTGTTACTTCTCTAGTAGAAGCCGAATCCTTGACACCGATCCTTCATCCATTAAACATCTTATTGCTTCCCATCCAGTTCTTTCATCATCATCATCATCATCATCATCTCAAAAGCATAGGGTGGTGAGTGTAGCTGGCCTGGGCTCGGCTGTCTTCTTCCGCGACTTACGCCCTTTCTCATTCGATGATTGGCTCTCCATTAAGAGGTATTCTTCACCCCCCCCTAAGAATATAGCACACATGTACTTCATATTTTCTTCTTCAAGCTGTAGTTTTGAATCACAAAGGTGATAATTATTTTATATAACTTCTATTTTGGCTATGAAATGAATACTACATACATTTCCCTTTTCCACTTGATCACTGAGAGTTTTGAAAGATGTGCCGCAATTCAGTTACCTAAATATTGTTACCATAATATGATTTAAAAGAAAGCATATTCCGAATGGAATCATATGCGATTACATAGATGAGCTAGGATACCATTCACCTTCCTTCTACAGACTAGAACTGAAAGATGCATAGACAGGATAGGGGGAGTTCCGGACTGGGATTGTTTCTAACATACTAACATAGTATGTGTGTATATGTATACATCCACACACACACACACACACACATATAGAGAGAGAGAAAGAGAGAAATGATCCTGTCCAGCAGCCCCCGGTCCGAACAGTGTCCGAACATGTCCATTTGGGGCACTTCCCGGTGGAATTTTTTGATGAATTTTTTTTAGCATGTTACTCACCAAGTCTAGTTTGTCCATACCAAATTTCAGCTCAAAATTCGATCGGGAAGGCATTCAAATCATTTTTTGAAGTTGACTGCGTTTTTTATATGTACATTTTGACGCAGTCAACTCCAAAAAATGATTTGAATGCCTTCCCGAACGAATTTTAAGCTGAAATTTGGTATGAACAAACTAGACTTGATGAGGAACATGCTAAAAAAATTTCATCAAAAAATTCTACCAGGAAGTGTCCCAAATGGCCATGTTCGGACACTGTTCGGACTGGGGGCTGCTGGACAGGATCATTTCTCTATATATATATATGTATGTATGTATGTTACGGAGTATTAACATACACATATATTTTAAAGTAGTTTTGAACACCCAATAACTTAAGTTAGACGTGTAAAATCATGCATTAAAAAATACAATTGTTCAAAATTTTAAGTTAAAGTAGTTTTGAACACCCGATACTTAGGTGGTAGATCCACCACCGAAAGCGGCTGTGGATGCAGAAAATTGTGCAAAAAGCAAGGCCTTCCAAGAAGATGAAGAAGACACAGCAGTAAAAGAAGTGTTCACAGCAGTAGAGGATGTTGTATGTCACCAAAGAAGGGACGATCGTGAAGGCGGCACTGCGGCACTGCTTGGCTGGAGACAGTGGCTGAAACAGATAAAGCACCCATGGTGCTAATTTCCGTGTTCATGTCTAGGGTTTAGGGGAAAAATTCTTGATACCATGTGGATATAATAACAGGCTTACCCAGTCATGGGTGCCTTTTGGTGCATGTAATTATGTATATACATGGTAAAGATGTACATCGAATAGAATTGCATAGACTTGGGCCTGCGTATACTACAATAATATATGATTTCTCTTTGAAAGGTTTCTCTCCAAGGGATGCCCTCTAATTCGTGCTTATGGTGCTATTCGCTTTAACGCTACTGTAAGCATTGCTTCAGAATGGAGAGCTTTTGGATCATTTTATTTTATGGTTCCACAGGTAACCAATTTGAAAATTTCTCTTCTGTTTACTTGATGACTTGCTGAAAGGTGTATCCTGTGGAAGATCATGTTTTTTTGTATACTAAGTAGTTAAATCGCTACTTGGTGGCAACTCAGTAAATGGCGAGTAGCGAGTGGGACTGAGTATTTGGGATTACTCGGTAATTACTCAACCATGCATTAGTTAAATTTTAAAAATAGATGCCCGAAATTGTAGTAACATATTAGTCTTATAATTCTTAGATCTGTTGAAATATAGGGAAAGTTCCTGAAATAGGAGTAAACAAGTTTTGGAATTCCAAAATAGGTCTGCTATATTTTTCTTCCAAAAATAGGAGTAACATGACTGTATTTACTGCCACCTTGGAGTTATTACTGCCAAAATAGTTGCATTACTAGGCATTACCATGACTTTATTTACTGGCAGTAACAATGAGGTTATTTACTGCCACCTTGTATTAATGGTGTAAGTTTGAGGAATTAATCTTCCTTGTATATTATTGAGCCATGCGGCTGAAGTATTTATACAGAGTATAGATAACAACTATTCTGTTTCAGATCCTAAAAAATAGGATCTATCTATCTGCGTTCTTATCTACTAATTAAAGCTATCTATCAGCTCTAATTCTAATCTATACAGCAACGGATGTACATAGAATAAAAAATACAATAATATGTCACATTTTTCAACACTCCCCCTCAAGTTGGTAAGTATATATCATACATTCCCAACTTGCTTATAAGTAGTTCAAATGCTGGTTTGAACAGTCCCTTTGTTAGAATGTCAGCAGTTTGTTCCTTGGTTGATATGAATGGAGTACACACAATCCCAGCTTCAATCTTCTCTTTGATGAAGTGTCTGTCTACCTCAATATGCTTAGTACGATCATGTAGCACAGGATTATGAGCAATATTGATAGCTGCCTTATTATCACAGTATAACTTCATAGGCAGTTCCATCTCCATATTCAATTCTGAAATTACCCTTTTGATCCAAAGTAGTTCACAGATTCCATTAGCCATAGATCTAAATTCAGATTCTGCACTACTTCTAGCAACTACATTCTGCTTCTTACTCCTCCAGGTCACCAGATTCCCCCAAACATAAGTACAATACCCAGATGTTGACCTTCTGTCAGTAACTGAGCCAGCATAGTCTGCATCTGTAAAAGCTTCAACACTTCTATTGTTGCCCTTTCTAAAAAATAATCCTTTCCCTGGACAGTTTTTCAAATATCTTAAGATTCTGTAGGTAGCATCAAGATGTTCCTGGAATGGATTATGCATGAATTGACTCACCATACTAACTGCAAAGGCAATATCTGGCCTCGTATGTGCCAGATAGATCAATCTTCCCACTAATCTTTGGTATTGTTGAACATTGACTGGAACTCCTTCTTTGACATCTCCTAACTTTTGATTAGGATCAATTGGAGTATCTATTGGTCTGCAAGCACTCATACCAGTTTCATGAAGAAGATCTAGTACATACTTCCTCTGGGACACTACAATCCCCTTCTTTGATTTGGCTATCTCCATGCCAAGAAAGTACTTCAATTCTCCCAAGTCTTTAATCTCAAATTCCTGGCCCATCTTTTTCTTCAAGTCTTCTATCTCTTTATAGAAGTTTCCTGTAAGAATGATATCATCAACATAAACAATTAATATTGCAATCTCCCCCTTACTTGAAAACTTCATAAAGAGAGTATGATCTGCTTGAGCTTGTTTGAATCCCTGTCTCTTTATAAACTGAGTAAACCTGTCAAACCAAGCCCTTGGGGACTGTTTAAGTCCATACAAGGCCTTTTCCAACTTGCACACCTTTGAGCCATACTGACCCTCAAACCCAGGAGGAGGGCTCATGTATACTTCCTCTTCAAGTTTCCCATTTAAGAAGGCATTCTTCACATCTAACTGTTGGAGTGGCCAGTCTAGGTTAGCAGCCAAGGATAGAAGAATTCTTATAGTATTTAATTTTGCAACTGGAGCAAAAGTTTCAGTATAATCTATTCCATAGGTCTGTGTATATCCTTTGGCTACTAATCTGGCCTTATATCTTTCAAGTGTTCCATCTGCCTTGAATTTGGGAGTAAATACCCATTTGCATCCCACTGTTGGTTTGTTCTTGGGTAATTCTACAACCTGCCATGTCTGATTCTTTTCAAGAGCATCAATTTCCTCCAAAACAGCCTTCTTCCACTCAGGTTTAGATAGAGCTTCATGGATAGTTAAGGGAATAGAAATAGAGGAAAGGCTAGAGGTAAAGGCTGCAAATGATGTTGATAATTGAGAATTAGACACATAGTTTGAGATGGGGTATTTAACACATGACCTTCTCTCTTTTCTGAGGGCAATTGGTAGATTTAGATCACTAGAGTTATTACCTTTGTCACTTTCTGACATTGAGTCAGATTCATGAGCAGTTGCAGGGTCAGAGATGTTCTCTATTCTTTGATTTGGAACTCTCCTTTCATAAACTTTGCCCCAGAATTTACTTGTCTGTTGCTCATCTCCTTCCCTTGTTTCAGGAATATTTATTTCATTTCCTTCTGATTCTTGACTATTTTCTAGTGCATCTAAAATTCTGTTATGATGTGCATCTAGATTAATGTCAAGAAACTCAAGATTTTCATGAATATGTTGAACAGTATTACCATCTTCACTAGAATTCTCCCCCTGAAGATGTGTATTATTAAAAAAAGGTTGATTTTCAACAAAATTAGTGTTCATTGTGATAAACATCTTTTTTGTTGTAGGATCAAAACATTTATAGCCTTTCTGTGTTGAAGATAGTCCTAAGAAAATACATTTTTTGCCTCTAGGATCAAATTTGCTTGCAGTTCTATCAGGATTTGTAACAAAAACTGTGCAGCCAAAAATCTTTATGGGAAGAGAGTTAATAAGTCTAGTTTGAGGAAAACAGTTTTGAAGTGTATCAATAGGAGTTTTAAATCCTAGGATTTTTGAAGGCATCCTATTGATTAAATAGGTAGCATGCAAAATAGCCTCTCCCCATAAATATTTTGGAACCCCAGTAGAGAACATAATTGCACGAGTAACTTCAAGCAAATGTCTATTTTTCCTCTCAGCTATTCCATTCTGAGCAGGTGTATTTATGCAGGAACTTTGATGAATAATCCCTTTTTCAGCAAAAAAATTGTTTAAATTTTTAGAAAAATACTCAAGACCATTATCACTTCTTACCATTTTGATATTGGTATTGAACTGAGTTTGGACCATTGAGTAAAATTTTTTGAACACGCCTTCAACCTCAGATTTCTCTTTAATTAAGAAAACCCATGTCACTCGTGTGTGATCATCAATAATAGTTACAAACCATCTTTTTCCTTTCAAGGTTGAAACCCTAGATGCACCCCATATATCACTGTGCACAAGGGTGAAAGGACTAGTTGGTTTGTAACTATGAGGGGTATAAGAACTCTTATGATGTTTGGCAAGTGCACACATATCACAATGAAATGATGAAGGATCCTTATTATGAAATAATTTAGGAAACAATTTTTTTAAATAATAAAAACTGGGATGACCTAACCTATAGTGCATTAAATACACTTCGTTATTACAAGGGAAGGAAATAGTTTGCAGACAAGTTTTTTCTGGATCTTGTTTATTCAATTCAGTTCCTTCATCAAAGACATATAGTCCATTCTCGTCTCTAGCACTGCCAATCATCCTCCCCGATGCCAGATCCTGAAAAAGGCAATAAGAAGGATAAAATCTTACACAACACTGAAGATCTTTGGTTATTTTGCTAATAGAGATAAGATTGCAGGAAAGTTTTGGAACATGTAAGACTTTAGAAAGGTTAATGGATGAAGAAACTTTAATATTTCCCATCCCTGCTATGGCTGAAAAAGAGCCATCTGCAACTCTAACTTTCTTATCTCCTGCACAAGGTTGATATGAAGAAAAAAAATTTGGAATGAAGGTCATATGGTCTGTTGCACCTGAGTCAATGACCCAGGTACTTTTTGGTTTTTTAGAACAAAAGTATGATGTAATTTTACCATTTTGGGCAAAAGAACAAGAAGGGTTTTCTTGGTTGGAGATTTTCTGGGTAGGTAGAAACTGAAGAAGGTAGTCTATCAGTTCCTTTGTGAAAGGCAGCTGTTTAGAGTCAACCTCTGACTCTTGTTGAGTCTCAGTCATAGTAGTTTGTAGAGCCCTTTCAAATTTCTTCTTTCCAGCTCCTGGTGGCTTTCCATGAATTTTCCAGCATGTTTCCCTGGTGTGCCACAATTTCTTGCAGTGATCACACCAGGGTTTTTTCCTGTCATCACCTCTGGCCACTAAAGCTGATGAGTCCCCAGGTTCCTCATTAGGTACTGGAGTGTTGTTCATGACCCTCCTTCTGCTATCTTCCAACCTGATCTCAGAAAAAACCTCTCTGATTGAAGCCAGAGGTTTTTTTCCAAGTATTCTGCCTTTTACTTCATCTAGGTCCCTATTAATTCCAGCTAGAAACATATAGACCCTATCATTCTCTTCTCTTTTCTTATGTCTTGCTAAATCCTTAGCACTTTCCCACTCTTCATTATCATAGCATTGGTCTAATACTTGCCACAGAGTACCATTTCATTGTAGTATGAAATGATATCCCTATTTCCTTGTTTAGACTGCCACAACTTGGTTTTGAGTTCAAAAATTTGAGAAGAGTTCTCCAGATCTGAATATGTTTCCTTAATAGAGTCCCATACCTCTTTTGCAGTTTTCATAAACATATGAGGTCTGGCAATTAAGGTCTCCATGGAGCTGAGAAGCCAAGCTGTTATGAGTGAATTCTCTGACCTCCATGTGTTGTATCCTTCCTCTCCAGGTAATTTAGGTTTGATTTCTCCTGTGAGGTAGCCCAGTTTCCCCCTCCCATCAATTGCGAGCCTGACAGATTGAGACCATTCCAGGTAGTTTGTTCCATTCAATCTATGACTAGTGATTATCATAGATGAATGAATAGGGGACTGGTAATTTGTCATGGAGCTAATTTGGGAGTTAGGGTTGGTAGTGTGTGAGGAATCAGAATCACTGGTTTCTACCATTGTTTTCTTTAAACCGAGGCTCTGATACCATGTAAGTTTGAGGAATTAATCTTCCTTGTATATTATTGAGCCATGCAGCTGAAGTATTTATACAGAGTATAGATAACAACTATTCTGTTTCAGATCCTAAAAAATAGGATCTATCTATCTGCGTTCTTATCTACTAATTAAAGCTATCTATCAGCTCTAATTCTAATCTATACAGCAACGGATGTACATAGAATAAAAAATACAATAATATGTCACATTTTTCAACAAATGGCAGTAACAACTTCTATTTCGGGAAGAAAAACATAGCACACTTATTTTGGAATTCCAAAACCCGTTTACTCTTATTTAGGGAAATTTCCTTGAAATATATAAGAATGAATGTAGGAATATGCTTTGGAATATTTAGGTATATACTCTATAATATTCTTATGGTACACAATCTTGTAGGAATATTCTATCTTGTAATAAATCTTTAGAGGGACCTAAATCCTAACAATAAAGTTGCAAAAATCCTAACAATGGAGTAGCAAAAATCATAAACATTCTAAGTTTCCAAGAAAATTAATCATCTAATAATTTAGTCCGAAACTAATCTTCATTTAGTTCAAGGTCGTCATTTTCTTCTTCATCCTCTATGTCTCGAAATAGATCTTCCCCAGGATCCCACGAGTTATTTGTAAAGTTTTTTTTTTCCAATTCTAAAATACTTGCTCACTATTTGTAAATTCCACAGTATCCCACTTTAGTTTAAACTTTTCAGATTTAACCCAAAAAGCAATCCCTCCGCCACAAAACTTGGCCATATTTGATTTGCACGTGAAATTATGAAGTAAAATGTGTGTGGTTGAGATTTGTGCAGTGGAATAATTTTAACCACACATTTCCTACTTTAAATGGAATTGACAATATTTGACGGCTAAATTTGACCATGTTTTATGGGATGGAGGGAGTAATAACTAGTGGTTGCTGAGTAACTCGGTGAGTCAAACTTATCACTGAGTTTAGAAAATTGCTGAGCGGCGAGTAACTAAAAAAAGAGCAGACCAAGTTGGAGTGCTAATCGGGACAGACACCCCGAGTTAGGAGTACTCGGCGAGTATTCGATGAGTTCTCGACTATTAGATAACACAGTTTGTATATAATCCATCTGGTGTTAGATATTGAATCACAGGTTGAGTTAGATGAGTTTGAGGAAAGTTCAATGATTGCTGCAACTATTGCTTGGGATAACTCCCTCTCATGGACATATCGGAAGTCTATCAATAAACTACAGGAAACAATGTGTGAGGTCTGCCTTTTCTCATAGCAAGCCTCCACCATCCAAGCACTTCATTTGGACTTCTTCCAAAATAGGACTAATTACTGTCATGTTTTGGCAGTACCAGACTTCAAACATGGCAATATTTTCCAAATTTGGCAGTAATTAGTCCTATTTTGGGAATAAAAACATGGCAGTCCTATTTTGGAATTTTCAAACTTTTTTAGTCCTATTTCGGGAACTTTCCCCACTGAAAATATGCAGGTTTACACTGTAGTTGAACATTTGGTGAAAAGAGTTCCCGATACATATGTACTCCAGAAAACTCACATTCCCGGAAAAACATCTTGGGATCAGGCTGTTAATCGTGCTTTGCATATGATAAAGGGGGATTACTCTACTCTGATCAAGGTTTAACATACACAATTTATTTAAAGTTAATATGGCTTTTAGCCCTTCATTTATAGAAATTGCTACTTTTTGGCTCGACTTTCAATTGGGCGTCTTTTGCTCCCTAACATTTCAACGTACCAATATAGTCCAAATGGTCCAAAATATATCTATACAAAGAAATGTTGTTGGATAAAGTAGTGACAATTTAGACATTTGAACTAGATTGGGATAGCTTTGAGAAGCCTAGGGACCAAGAGTGGTTGAACTGATAGTCAGGAATCAAAAGTCGCATCGTCGAGCATCCATAAGGAAAAAGAATAAAAAAGAACCGAATGTTTAAGCACTACGGGAGCTAAGTGTATGTTTTTAATTTTGTGCAGTAAACTTAATGTCACATTGCACTAAACTTACCGTCAATTGCTTTCAGACATTAAGTATATTAAACTTTGTGCATTAAACTAGACATCGTAGTGCATTAAAATATTAAGATATTGAAAGTGCAAAAAACTTTGTGCACTATGTAGTATATTGGAAGTACATTAAAATTTGTGTATTAAACTGAATGTCAAACTATGTAGTTTATTTTAGCCATTGCTCCAAACCTCTGCTAGAATCAACAGTGAAGCCATATAAGTGGGTCTTTCAAGTTACATATAGTTGAGCTCACCTTTAAGTGTACCATACTGATTTTTTCTCATTTTATCTTATCCTCTCAAGAATCTTTTTGAGCTAAATTAGGTCTAATTTGATTGTGTATCATATAGTCTGGTCCAGTAATGGTTCATTTGTTTATTTGACACCTATAATTCTGTGTAAACTGTTTTAGGCTGGTTTGGCCCTTTATCTATCTCTCAAGTTTTCCATCTCGGTATTAATGATTTTTTTAGAGTGAGTTAGAGCCAATTCAGTTTCATCAAAATCAAAGATGTGAAGTTTGAAAGTCCAAATATTTATTTTTTCATGTAGGTTGTACTTGCTCGCAGCAGCAGAGTTGTAACTGCTATAGACATTGACCCTTTGACATGGTTAACTTGCCTGAAGGTTCAAGTAGTTTTTATGTTCTTCTGATTTACTCAAAGGCAAATCGAGCTGTCTCTAAACTTATACTGTAATATTTTCTTTTTTAGTACGAAGGAGAAAATGCATATCAGTTTTGTTTGCAGCCTCCTGAATCACCGGCATTTATTGGAAATACTGTCAGTGCAATTCTTCATCATATTAGTAGATGTTTGGGAGCTCGGTGTGGTCATACTCACTCTAACAAAATTGTGTATAGCCAGAGCAATTATTTCATCGAGACCAACTCAGCGTTTGCAGTGATGCTCTTGCTGGCACCCGAGCTAGAGGCGGGACAGCGCTTCTAGATCTTAAGATAGGGCATGATTTGCTTTCCAGGTTATCTTATTAACATGATCCTCTATGAATTAGCTATCTGCTCATGAGAAAAAAGACTTGAAATTTGTGGAGCTCCTCTAGAAGGCTAAATGATATATGCTCACTTTCATTGTACTTGCTGGCTTGCTGCAGCCCAAAAGAGCATTATGAGTTCACTATAGTACGAGAGTGCATTAGAAGGAGACTGGAGGCAAGCTACACTGAATGCAATTTTATTAGATTCATATCCCACACTTTATTTGTTACTTTTGCAACTAAAAGTACAATTGGATTTTGTTACTCTCTGTTTCATTCTTTCTTTTCGGTTTAAAAGGCTGTGTGTTCCAGTGTGCTGATTGAACCAAAGAAAGCTTTGAAAAAACTTCCAAGAGTCCAACATCTTTATTCCCGATTGTCTGGGAGGCTTCAAAGTGAAGATGATGAGGTAGTTCTTATTATTGATTACAGTTTGTGTATTGGCTATTCTGTTTATAATTTATCAGGCACTTTTGGATTTCTAGGATCAACGGAGACTTGATTTTCTTTTTCACCTCATTCTATTTCTTTTCTCAAATAATATGGGATAAGGCACAGAGTTCAACCTAATCCGTGGAAAAAGCTTTGGTTCCCCTTTTACTTGGGCTATATTTGAAGTTTGGACCCCAGGAAATGCTAGGCAAAGGAATGAAATTTATTTTCTAATATTTGGTTTTACCCCTGAAAATGCAAAGGAAAATGAAATACAAGGGATTTTTCTAAAAGATTTGTAGAGTGATCAAGAAATCTAATTGATTAGATTTCTTGGTACACATAAAAAATAAATAATTTGAAAAGTGATTTTGAATAAATAATAAAATAAACTTATTGAGTTTGAACCGGTGCTTTATTTTCACCAACAATTCTTTCCTTACAAATTTCATTTATAATCTCCTTTCAATTTTCTTCCCCTATCATTTTCCTACTTCATAATGGAATCTTAACAATTGTTATCTTGAGATAGTGTGGAACTGCGGATAAAGTCATAAAACTATAAATACAGGCCCAATTTTCACTATTTTACTGAGTTACTGGCCGATGTGTGTGCCATGAGCCTCACTCTGCCACACTAAATAAGAGTGTGACCCACAATGACCTGTCCTCATCGCTTATCTGACATAACACTCACAATTTCTTCACTCTTCTTCAAAAATGAACCCTTACTTCGCTAGATGTGGAGGTTGATGATGAAGCATAATCCAGAGAGACTTCGCCGAACACATTAATTCAAATGTTAGGTTCATTAACTTGATTTATAAAATAAATTCATGTTACAACTTATAACAACATTCAAGCAATAGTTCCAAAAGATTTTGAGGTTGGCTAACATAAAACGATACATATAAAATGTCCATAAAGGGGCAATTTTTTTACCACTATCAACAATAATCAAAGGGATACAGACAGTGGGTTCCACTTTTAATCCATTGTGGCAAGGTGGAATCATGTGGAGAGCATTAGCCAAATAAGGTGACAGCTGGATCTTATTTTATCCACTCCATTGTAAATCACTGGTTAACTTTGTTTAGCAGGAGTACCAGAGGGGCTTAGTTCTACCTTGATGAATAGTTCTAGGATACACCTAATCAAAGCTTTGTTTAGGCGCTGGATTGATATTATAGGGATTGTTCAGCCATTTCAGGGGCAGTTACAACTTCTATCCCTTGATAATAATTTACTTCTCCAGTTCAAGGTTCTATCATCGCTTCATCCAACTCCAGCAGTTTGTGGGTATCCGACAGAAGTTGCACGGGTTCTAATAGCAGAAACTGGTATGTGCCTATTGTTACACACCTACACTCCACTACTATCTTCACTAATTCTGTTCCTGACACAACCCCTCGGAAATTTGGGTATAAGGTTTGCTTGTTGCTCTTGAATACAATATGCACAACCCGTGAAATGTTGTGGCTGCATCATTATGTTTTCAGATTAAAAGAAGAGAAAATAAGATGAAATATTATGGCTTAACTTTTTTTTTTGCGCATTTGCAGTTGATAAGTGATACTCCCTCCATTCCAAAATAAAAGTCACGTAATTCCTTTCTGGGCTGTCCCATAATAAATGTATCTTTACTTCGATCAATACTTATGAATACTCCACTCCATGCATACTTTACCCTTCCTTTTACGTAAATCTACAACTTTATCATTCCAACGTTACCTACCTTTCACTGCTACAATATAAGGACAGGGTAGTTTTGGTTTTTTATCCCACTTTCTTAATCTTTGTGCCCAAAAGGTCCGTAATTTTTATTTTGGGATGGAGGTAGTCATGGCTACCATGAACTTTTTTCAACTAGAGCAGCCCTGTTTACTTAATTTCAGGCATTGCATCCATCTAATTAATATGCTTACGTGGAAAAGCTATTGGGTAGAAAATGTACTATATTCAATTAGCAGGAATAGTTTAAAAAAATTGAAACGGATTGAACTCATTTATCTTTGGGGTCAAATCACCAAAAGAAGAATCTCAAACTCTTGGAGGCTCCTTCATATGTCTTTTGTGGCCAAACATCTAACCTCTCATATTTCCGCAGAAACATTCGATCGAGGAATGTATGCTGGCCCTGTTGGTTGGTTTGGAGGGGAAGAGAGTGAATTTGCAGTTGGAATCCGGTCAGCGTTGGTTGGTAAGGTATGCTTAACAGACGGCACTTGTATTTTATTTATTTAAACTTTCATTTTCATTATTCTTCACTTTTAGAACCCTGATAAGAAAGAAGTCTAGGAAATTGGGATTCAGCAGTGTTTCAAGTTTGATATTTTTCAACCAACAAACTGTCCTATGAGAATTGGAAGTAATGTGATTGCATAGTGTGTTTCCATTTAGTCTTTTGTTTAGACATCCCCTCCTAGATCCGCCTAATCAGCTTCCCGTCTACCTAGAGCTTTTTAAAATGACACATTTGAGTATAGGGGCACAAACAAGTCAAGCCGCTCATTAGCTACTCGTGAGTCGCTATGTCAAAATTCGACTCGAGTTCGGACAAACTCGAACTCAAGCTATTCCTTTGAGCTTGCGATTCGCGGGCCATAACATATTATATTTAAAAATGTATATGTAAACACACACTATCGGGTGTATATTTATACATACACCTGACCATAGTCACATGGATCGCGGTACGCCATGATACGCGGTACGAAAACGGGAACGCGGATCGCGAATATTAGAAATCCGATACGCGAGGGGGTAGGCTTCTTCGGTACGCTATTTCGGTACGCGGAACGTTGTCCCATTTGTTATGGTACGATGTGCCATAAACATATGTGTAGTAAAATTAAATATAATTAATATAATACGGAGTATTAAACAATTCACTTCAATGAGTCAGTCTTTAATCAATTGCTTATGTGTACCATTTTTTTTTGGAAATTGTGTACCATAATTAAATACAAAGGTTTGAACCACGAAGTCTTTAAAGATTGTGTGGCCTGGAAAAAGCAACTTCGTTTCAATCCTTAAATTCGTTTAGCTTTTTGAAGTTCGAACTGTGAAATCTAAAGAAATAAAAAGTCGTTTCAGACTTTGATTGAGCGGTGAGCCATCGCTTCGATCTTTGAAGTGCGAACGACAAAGAGAGACTCCGGAGTTCGTCGCCGACCTTGTGTCGCTTGGAAAAAGCAGTTCACGGACGCGACTCTTGGACTGATGTTCGTCGGACGCTGGAGGGGACGTGCGAACCACAACTCGGAAACAGCGTACCACCTGGACGGCAACCGCGAACTGCAACCGGAATCCGCCGTACCGGAGTCGCGAACCAGAAGCGACCGGCACGCAACTGTACCGCGATCCGGTACGCGCGATCCGGAACGGAAAACGCGGCTATGTTAGCGATCCCTGTATCTATGCACCTGACCATAGTTGTCATGGCGCACAAGCATTTTTCCATGGCGATGGCACAAATATGGCGTCGCCACGTGACAAAAGCAAAATGACTCACTATTTTTTGGCTTGGGAATATGATGGAATAAAGCAAAATGGCTCATTAAACTGTGTGTTTCTTTGTTATGAAGCAGCAATCAGTCCATGCAATTTTCGACGCGATTTTCACTATGGGTCATCCCGGAAACAGTCTCTTTGTGCTTTAGAACAAGGGTAAGACTGTGTACATCCGACCCCCTTTTATCCCACCGCAGGTGGTAGCCTTTGCGGCACTGGGGTTGACGACGACGAGACACTATAATTGATTGACCCAACCACCAAAACATAATAAAAAGGTTGAATCTGATAGCAATGGAACACCATCCTCATTCATTTCATCCTCAGAAGGATCTTCAACCTCGTCCGTCTCCTCCGCATCCTCTGCCTCTTATGAGTATTTAAATTTATAAATTGATAAATTATCTGAACAAATCATTTAACTAAATTTACTTTAAATTGATAAATTGATAAAGTAACATAGCATTTAACATAAAGGCTGAGCTGTTCTATTGTTAGTCTGTTGCTTCGGTTTATGTTTAAGAGTTTACACTCAAAGCACATGAAGTGTTGCTATTAAATGAAGACATGAATTTCAGATTCCAGCTTTTGTATTAAATGTAGTTCACATTTTCAGGAATCATATATTCATATATAACTGTATAAACTGAAGTTTTCTTCATTAACACAGAGCATTAAGAGGGATGTTGTACCTTTTGTAGTTGGAAAGAAGTCAACGAGTTCCCCTTTTGTCATTTTTCGTTCTGTCGTTTGTCGCTCAGCTTTTACTTGCGCAGCAGCTTTAACTTCATTCACATGTATTACTTTGTGTCTTTATTTACTTTGGTTAGGATTGTTGTTAGTATATGGGCTAGCTTATTAATTTTTTATTAGAGTTTTGTTAATGGCCTAACATATTATTTTGGCTCAACAGCCCAAAAATCACAAACCAAATATGCTCTGTTTTGTTAAATAACATGGCGCAGCACCATGTCTGTGGCGATCAAATGGCATTGCTACTTGTATATTCAATACCACGACCCCTTTTCATGGCACAGGAGTGATTTGCGCGCCACATGGGCATGCACCATTTTGTGCCATCAACAACCATGCACCCGACAACTCGAGCCGAACCTATAAAATTTAATGAGTAAAACTCGAGCCGAGCCAAAGTCAAGCCCGAATTGAGCACAAGCCGGCCTGAAGCTGAGCTTGAGCCGAACTTATTAGGCTCGTTCGAGCTCGACCTGCAAGTCAAGCGAGTGCATTCTTATCAAGTTCAAGCTCGATCAGGCCCAAGTTCAAGCTCGATCAGGCCCAAGTTCAAGCTCGCCCGTTTGCACCACTATTTGAGTACATGCTGGTTTTGTGGCGCTTGATGAAATAATAAGGTGTTGGGTTAAAGTGACTAATCAATTGGGTTCAATCTTTAGATGTTTGATGCCACCTATTTTATGTTATAGTTGAATAACCTTGTTCTCATTGTGAATTCAATCACCTGGAGTTATCAGGGTCTTGGTGCATTGATTTATGCTGGAACAGGGATAGTCAAAGGAAGCAGTTCATCTTCTGAATGGGATGAACTAGAGCTGAAGACATCACAGGTGTCCATTGGGTCTTCATCTCTGTGACACTGGAATCAATTTGAAATGTTCAGCATCAATGATGTTTTTATTTTAAGTCTTTCTTTGTTTGTGTTTTGTTTGATCACAGTTTACCAAACTGATGAAACTTGAGGTTCCTGCATTGTCAATGAGTGGAAACGAGAGGAATATTAACCAAAGGGGTTGATGATTATCAGTTTTACATTCATTCAGATTCCTTGTTGAGATTGAGATCTGACCTTCAACTTGCATCCTTGTACTTCTGGTGCAGACAACTCCCCTTTTATCTTTTGCTTCCGCTATACACACGCCCTCTCCTGCCCAAAAGAGGCAAATATATGGGGCATCAAATGATGACATATTTCTTATTATTTGCGAGCGAATGTCAGTTGCATGGTCATTGCTGTAAGAAATATCATACATTAAAAGTTAAGAGCTTAGTGTTAAATTATTGGTATAAGCAATTATCTTATTAGTAGGATGGACTCATGGACCTATTCTAGTTCCAGTCCAATATGTGTGCTTACCTTTCAATGGGACTGGAAGTTACAGGCCCAATCAAGTTCCCAACCTGTATATAGCAATTTTTTATATTAAAAAATAATTAATAAAGCAGAGCCGATCCAGTGTGAGCTTATTTGGAGGAAACAGAAATCTGTCCCGTCTGCTTCTGGTAATCTGGTTGGGAACTGAAAAATGGGCAACTGGCTCAGTCTTTTAGCCGCCCGGTTCTGGAACTAGGAGTGAATCTACATCTAGTTATATTAGTACTCCGTATAAGAAGAATAAATGTCATAAAAGTGACAAATGTAGGTATAAAGCTGTTACTAATTTTACTATGAAAAATGTAAAAGGGCTAGATGAACAAGGCTGCAGCACCCTTTATCCATGTGTCCTGGTTTAGCAGGATTTTGGAAGGGCCACCCGGCCAGTCAACTAAATTTTAAAATGAGAAACTTTGTCAAATACTCGTATTTGCTTATGAGTTATGACAGGGCATAAGATATGGACTCTCTGATTTGAAAACTTAATTTTCATACCAACATTTTGTGTAATTCTCCAAGTGTGAATTACACTTGGAGAAATTTGACCAAGGCATGTACTCCCTCCGTCCCAATTTGTTTTGCAGAGTCAACATTTTTTGGTCAACTAATAATAAAAGTCAACCCTCCCTATGAATAATTAATTCAATTTTTAATAATTAAAATTTACATATTCAAAAACTAAAGTAAAATTTCTTCAATGTTGTAAACTCCAAATTAGAAAATAATTAAAAAGTGACATCATAATTAAGTGAACAAAATGAGACCGTTTGACTGAGAAAAGTCAAATTTGCAAATCTCTTTGGGACTTATTTACTTTCAAAGACATGACGGTCTACATGAGAACAACTATCTAGTCCTTGGTGTAAAAGATTGTTTAGATATGACATTGTCTGTTTTTTTTAAGCTCTTGCTTCTAAGATATGTTTTGTTTTTCCCCTTTGTATTATGTGCATAGATGATAGAACCAGGGGCGGAGCCAGGATTTCACCAAAGGAGAGGCGGGACAGAACGAAAACATGTATATACATAAACATATTTTATTAAAATTGATGATTAATTTGAAATATTTGATATCTTGTAGGAGAAGTAAAACAAAAAAATGTATCAATATCTTAAGATATACTCCGTATGATAGTAGTTGTTTAATTTCTCAAGATCAATCTCTTACTACATGTGTGGATTATGTTTAGGGAAAGAAAATTAATTTCTAGGATATGATTTTTCTGTTTGGTTTTGCAACACAAATTTCAAAGCTAATTAAATATAATTGATACTATTTAATTTGTTTTCATACATAATTATATTACTCTTTAACTATACAAATAGAAATATAAGATCAAATTCATCTCACGTCAAAGTTAATTCATCATATTTGATCAAATTTATGTATCACATTTACTCATAGTTTCCTACGATTTTCCCCCAACATTTTTCAAGCTTAAAAAAGTCTAATAAATTGAACAGTTTTAATATAATTAGATTTTATAAAATGATAAATTTAAGATTATATATTTATCAATCATAATTAGTACTATGTTTCACTTCTAAAGAGAATCTATTAATAAATATATTAACATTCAATTACTCCTACAAAAGATTAACAAATAAATACTAAAAAAAATTGGAAAGTTGGGAGGGGCCATGGCCCCCCTATCTAGGGGTGGTTCGGTACGGTATACCTTGTATTTTTTCTCATACCTTTGTCGTACCAAAACTTTCGGTATGCAAAATTTGCATATCTTTACCTTACCGAAGTTTCGGTATACCGCATTTTGGTATACCGAAGTTTCGGTTCGGTAACGGTAAGGTATCGGTAAATTACCGTGCATGTCTCCCAATAAAAAAAATTATCATAGACTAACGAAATATACTAAATCGTTATTACTAGCGACATATTAAATCTATTATTAAAATGTTACGAAATACAATCAATAATCTATTGATGTCAATTCAATATTGAACAATAATTATTATTAGTATATTTAAGCAGTTCAACATACCACATATTAAAAAGTAACGCATTCTCCTAAAATAACTTGAACAATATAGATATAATTAAATCAATAGTGATCTCTAACAAAAATAAATAAAACTATTCAAACAACATGGATATAAAATCATTTATTCCTAATATGATATTGTGTATTTAGTCATTTTTATAATTTTTTTAAAATTGAATAAGACTTTCGGACAAAGTTGTGTGTCTCAACTCGCTGAATCCCTATGTAGATACACTTGTCACATAAGTGTATCTACCTTCACTCGTCAGCTACTTAGCGGCCCAACCATCACGACTTGCAAGCTCTTGGAACAAGATGGACTTGTTTCTTGACATTTGTACATTACTCATTAGTCATTTAAGGTTAGCGTAGTAGAAGCCTATAAGGTTATAATGGGTTTGAGAAATTGGGCCTTTCTTTTTGTATTTTTGTATTTGTAACCAACTTAAGTATTAATTTTGGGCTTCAAAATTGTAATGGATTTCTACAATATATTAGAATTAAAAGTAATTGTTGAGTAGGGAGTCGGTACTGTCACGCCCAGGACCTCCCCGGACACGTCAACAACCCGCCGTACAATACGAATAGTCAACCGCAGTCCAACACATTCATATTATACAAGGCGTCATGAATATCATTCACACATATAACATCCATAAACAAACATAATAAGTAATTCATTACGCAGCGGAAAACATAGTTTGAAATCAGATGCCACACAGGGCAAACATGAGCACGCAGGCTCTAAAGTAAAATATCCATGAGCATGTTTATTAATGTTCTAAAACAGAATGGAGGAAGCACGAACCAAGTCTTCTCCCCGGGAAATCACTCGAGCAACGAGCACAGGAAGCAAGCTCTAGCCTCAACCTGAAATGGTGGTGGGACGCCCCCGAAGGGGTCAGTACTCTATACGGCTATAAAGTACTGGTGTGCCAGGCATCTAATAGATATACAACAAGTATTTCAAACACAAGACCCTCAAATAGGGTGATAGTACAATATGGTTGTAACCCTAAGTTACCCCGTTTGAAAATATACTTACTTTATATAAAAGTCAAGTAGTCGGCCCGTGGGCCCAAGTTTATTTAGAAATCACCATTCCCATTTCCCGTGACTATAAGCCACGACAACTCATAGAGTCCAACCCTAAACATGACATTGTATTCTAGAGCTCCGCTCTATCACATCACCATACAATTCATGTCACTCGGGTCAATTTCCTTATCTTGCATTCTAGAGCACAGCTCTATCACATCACCATGCAATCCTTAGATCTCCAACCCCAATACATGACATTGTATTCTAGAGCTCCGCTCTATCACATCACCATACAATTCATGTCACTTGGATCAATTTCCTCACCTTGCATGAAGGTCCAATTCTTAAGCAAACCTATGCCTAGAATTGACATATCGACAAACTACCTTGGGTCATCCTTAAAGAGTGCCCATAACATAACCTTAGCTTCATACTAAGTCATTATATACACTTGAGGTATATTCAAGTGCATTGCATACAATCCAATTCCTAGGATCAATTCTATCAACAATTTCCAATAATCACTAACTAGTATTTCAATACTATTAAGTTTATTGTTATCATACAAATATTCTCATTTTGTAATTCTCTACATATTTACAATTATGTAGCAGCAACTTAAGTATTCAACCTCAATACATAAATATTCATTTATGTATCCACATGATTCATACATGAGTAAAATGCCTATTTCACAAAATAGTTCATTTATAACTCATTTAATCTCATATTATTCATATATCCTCAAATCATTTCCAATTTCATTCTTTGGAAACTATATCAATATTTAATCAATATTTAATCATCATAATCCATGAAAAATTATGCTTTAGGCATTTAGGTAATCTCATGCTTAACCTACAAGTTGTAAGCAATTAGATGTCAATCCTCACCTCGATTAAGCTCCAAACTGCCCGCTATCAATCCAGCAACCAAACCTTTGTCCAAGAGTGATTGAGTATTGGTTCCTTGCCTAAAATTTGGTTCTATAAAGCCTCTTCCAAGTGTAGGTTCGTTCCCTACCAAAAGTTATGAAAACAGCCCCCTATAAAGGGTGTTTTTGGGCGAGTACAATCCATAACCTTTCAAGGTTTGTTCTAAGTTAGAATCTAACATATACATCTATAAAGTAACATTATAAAGAACATATTATACACTTGAAATAGTGTATAATGGTTCTACAAGTCGTTCTTATCATAGAGATAATGAAAATGAGGGTTTTGGGTTCAAACTCACTTTGAAAAGGTAAAATCGTTTCTGCGAGGTTGGGTTTTCTTTCGCTGATTTGAAAGCCTTCCACTACTCCGTTTGATGCAAATCAGACCTTCACGGATTCCTCGTCTTGAGAGCTATCCGCAGGTACCTCACACGCCTGATTTGGATTAGTATAACTCGAGATATGAACCAAACAAACAACTCTACCCACTGGAAAATGAACCTGCGGGCAGTCTTCTCCTTTCTCTCTTTCTTGGGGTTGTGTGGCTCTCTCCCTCCCTATTATCCTTTTGGATCCGAATGGGGGTTTGTGGGGGTGTCTAAGACCTCTCAAAAGAGTTGGATAGGCTGTGTGGAATGAAAATGAATGGGTATGGGGCTTGCTTGGCATCATGTAGATCAATAACACATGGGGAGGGCCCTTGGTTTGTCTCAAAGTCAGGTGCAGCCCCCTTTTCTCCCTTATGTCCGCCCCATACCTCCCCAACTAACATATTCCTTTGTTTTGCAGGTGCTCAAGTCATGTGGGATGGTTCCCAATTGATCCCAATCCATTTGGGATCCAAAATATCTACCAATACTTCCAACAAAAAGTGGAAAGATGGGTCCTATTGTTTTATCTTTGTCATGGGATGTCTTTTTGTACTCATTATTATTTA